TCGTCTAAATAGCCTTTCGACTTGGCGCAGTTAATACTTGGTGGGTGACATTTTATTAGTCGAAGTACGTTGTTCACGTTAAATGACAGGTACTCATAGCATAAATGAGCCGTTCACTGCACATATCGATTAACTCCAGTTTTAGAAAAATTTGAAAAAGTGTCGAAAGCACTTGGTATAGTCATAACTTTTTATACTTGTAATAACTTTCCTGAAAAGAAAAGAATTTTGTTCAATATTTGTTTGAATTTATATTATAAAGGGTATTTTAAAAAACGATGTACATTATTTCATCGCATTTCTCAACTTTTTGTTAGTTCCTTGTCAATCTTGGTGAATTTTGTAATCGAGTTAATCGATTTGTGCAACGAACGATCAAATATTATTCTTAGAATTCAATTTGAAGTAAATCGTTGTTGAAGAGTCTTGGGACAAGCAAACAAAATTTATTTAACGTTAATCCTCATTTAATCTTGTACTTTTCAATAGTCCTGATCACTGTGTTTAATAATTATCACTGTGCTATGTGTTTGAAGTCAATGGTTTGATCTTTTCCTCAGTAAAAAGTTTCTCAAGCGAAAAGGCGTGATGCCAAGATCCGCAGTTAGAATTGCTCAGCAAAAAGGGAAGTGAATGTTCACCTCGTCAGCAATCTTTTGAATAGTTAAACGCCGATCGGCACGGATTTTTTTCGCAAACTTGAGCAACTGTTTCTTCATTACGGGCCATTGAAGGTCGACCTGGGCGTGGACCAACTTTGAAGGATCCTTGGCTCTCTTTAAATCTTTTAACCTATTGGTAAACCCCTGAATGGCTTGAGCGATCATCGTGGAAAGTACTTCAGGGCATCTTGCAAAGTTTCTGCTCCGATTTATCCATTTTAAACTCTGTTCCTTTAGTCGATCTCTTATAGGTGCGATCATAGTACAGATATTTCCAAACTTGCACGCTCTCCAAAAAGTATGAATTATACAGCAGGTATTACTGTAAAGACTGATGAAGCTTTAAACTTTATTAAGGTTTTAGATTTTAATTATTATATATAACATATATATAATATAATTTTGATATTACACATAGATCTATTATATATCAAGATTTCCGCTGAAAAAGAAATATTTAAATATTTCCATGCATGCTTTATAACTTTATTTCCGTGAATATTTTATTACTTTAATTATCCTTCGATCGCGAATACCACGAGTAACACACATACTAACATGTTGCTTTAATACGTTAGCCTGTATATTCGTAGGAAGCACCGCATCGACGCTGTACAGCATGCGTGGGAGCAGATTTGCTTAATCAAAGCCTGCTAATCACCTTGATAACGACTTTTGGGAAACGTGGTTACGAATTCTATGTTTCGCGACCGGTTTCGTCGCCGAGTCTCGTTACCATTACCGCATTGTGCGTAGATGAAAGCTGCCACAACGCATTAATTAACCGCCTCCTTTAATCTTTTTGCGCGAAAGGAATTATTAAACGTAGTAAGAGAATAGACGTCGCTCTCGTCGAAAATCTGCTACCTACACACAACCGCAATTTAATTAATTCGGAAAGCGCCTAGAAATATTCATCCGCGAATGCCCGGGCATGCATCGGTGCTCGTTGCAAATTTTCATTGAAACGCGTATTCGTTTTAAGGGGGGAAGCCACTGTACAATCATTGAAACTCGTGCACGCTTACGCGCTCCTTTCTTTCTGTAACGTCGAAATCGCATTGTCGAGTTGCAGCGTCAAATTGATTTCATTCGCGGACAGCATTACAATCTCTGTCCACAATTTTCATCGAGACGTAAGCTCGCTGCAATGGCGTCGTAACGGGTGTTATCGCGACTACAAGTTTCTTTAGGGTTTTAATTGATTACTCTGTAATTTCGTGGAAACTGTTAATTGTTTGTGATGGGATAGTGGTAACAATAAAGTTAAGTATCCTTAGTAAAGGAATTTGGTCATTAATCACTGGATTTCTCTAAACATTGTTCAGGAAAATTGAAGCTAATTTACTTTTAAATGAAATTTGAACAATGTAGATTCTTTGGTGTTTTTAGTAGAGAGCATTTGTTATCATTAGACGTAGGAAAATCGTTTTATGTGTTGAACATAATACTGTCTACTTAAGAGTAGGAACATAGTGTTTCTATAAATAATAAATCACATCTGAATGTTAATCATTTATTTTGCATAAAGCAAAATAAAGAATTAATTCAATAATATTATCAATGTTAAACTAATGTATGTAAACTAACTATGTATTCATTTTATACACACAATACAATTCTATTTCAATGACAATTAATTACAATTAATTTTTTCTTAAATTCTTCTTCAAATTTAATAATTATAATATTATTACTATCGACTAATTGGCCAACAAGTAAGTAACATTTCGGTTCTTTTACGTGTCTGAAATATTCGGGAATTAAAGTGTGAAATCTAGTGGAGCGACTGTTGTCCTAATTAACTTCTTCGGTATAACGATATCGTGATATTACCACAAACCTTATACCTCTCCTTCGCGGTGCGCACTGTTGTAACACATACAATTTTAACTTTATTCTTAACTAAGCTCTGTAACTGAAACTACAAGGACTTAATCTCCTCTTTGCGTTGCAGTTAATCCTCTATGCAACGTGCGATACTCACGGCGAGGACTTATACTTATACGTCGGAGACGCTTTTAAGTATTATAGAAAGTACTCTATTCCGCAGTTCATTTAAATAAATAAGAAGTTAATACTGTAATCGCCTTATATGCGTGGAATATTAACATGTAGCTTTCCTATTCTGCTTTACTAAAAGTAGCAAAGTAATCTAACTTTCACCTGCCAGAGATCACTCGTCGTGAGATGTTAGAGCCTATGATAGACTAAAATAATTGTCACCGTCCGAATTGGGACTGCTAATTTTATTATGCATTATATTTCATGTTAATACTTATTTTACCGGATTGATGCCTATTCATATTAAGATTGACATCATCATTTCTATTACAATAATTTCTATTAAATGACCGTTTTATTTTTATTTTCATTTTGTTTCTTTCTTCGCCGTTACTCTTACGCTTTTGTATCTTTTGCAACTTTTAACTACCAGACAATCAAACTGATTACGATCAAAATAAATCCTATATTTCTCTTGTTGCGTTCTTCATTTTTCGCGCAACCACGTACCGTATCGCGGTATTCTCGTCGAAAAATAATTTCGCGAGTCCACTTAACGAAGAATACCAGCGTCCGCGAAATCACAGACAAAGCTGCTCGTCTTCCGATATTGGAAAAAGAACTCCACGTATCCTGTTCCACTTCCGCTAATGCGTGTGCATCCGCGTTCCAGCTGAAACCAGAGCTGGTACTCGCTCGCAAACGGAACGATACCGTCGGTGATGAATTGAGATATCGATTTGGAATCTCTGTAACCGTGTATCGCATTGGTCAGAATAGAAAACCTGTTGATTTTGCGTAGTCCTGGTTCCACGGGAGCGGCCAGGGCTTCGCGATCCTTCATTGTCGTCGATTCGGACGTCGGCTTTGTTCCGTACGTTGGAGATGCACTTAGCAATCCCTTTCGCGATCCGTTTTGTCAGATCAGTAGGGACGAATTAATCGCAGCGCATCGCGGGAAACATTCTTCTTTGTGGCTTCTTCGAAACGTAACGGAGGAAAGTTCGCGAACAGTAATGGTACTTGAACAGTAATATGTTAATAATAATATTATAAGTGGAGTATTAAGATAGTGAACAGTTCAATTTGAATACTGATCCTTGAAGAAAAGTATCCAAATAATGATAATTGAACTGTATTATCATAATAACGACGAGCTATTTGAATAATGATATTTGACCAGTAACATTCAAATCATGAATTTTAAGCAATATTCTTCGAAAAATGATACTCGAAATAATCCATAAATAATCTCATTTGAATACTAACACTTCAATAACGACACCCAAGCAATACTATTCGAATAATCATATTAAAAATTCGTAGTCCTTGAGCATTTTACAAACCAGAGAACCTGTTGATTTTCTTTAGAGTTCACCTCCCCAAGAGTGTCAGGCTTAACAACCCTTCATTGTCGTTCGATTCAGACATGAAGTTCGCTCCCATATGTGGACAAGCACTTAGGAATACCTTCTTCTGTTCTCTCAGTTTGTGCGGATCGACCTGATTGCGTAAAACTGCAAACAGATTCCGCGTCCCGCGGTGTTCGTCAGTCACTCCATTTTCTCCCTGCGTTTGTTGTTCCAGACGTCGTAATTAACGCGGCGAACTGTTGTATAATAAAGTACGACTGACATAATTAACGGCGCTCTGCATTTCGTGCTACCGCTCTGAAAAGAGCTGAAAGTAACTCGGTCTTATCCCGAAGCCTTCCACCTCCTCTTTCTCTCCCCTCTGCGCTCCGTCTACCTCTTTCTAGCATTCCGTTCGTCCCCTGTATTTCGTTCTGTCTCCCTCCGATTCTGCTTCACCGCGAGTTCTTTGCGTCCATAAATAATTCAGGTGCTCAGGATGTCGTAAAGACATTAACGAAGGCAAAAGCTTTTAAGGGCGGCACGGCTGAATCCTGAACTCGTTACGCGGCTCTTACGATAATAACTCGCAATCTCTGCCGACGGTCTATTGTTCAACGATATATGTATTTACGTTCAGGGCTGATGCGATTTTTCCTTCGCGTATAACGCGTTCCTGAGGATAATGAATGTTCATCATGCTTTCACGCAAACCTCAGTGTAAATCTGAACAACCTTGCATTCAACTGTTTAGTCACTCGTTTGGAGTGAGTAAGAGTTAAGTTACAGTAATTTGGATGGGAAGTTTAGATAAATTTGAACGTATACATATTCTAGAACTTTTGTCACTTTACTCTTTATCTTCTCGATTTGAAATAAATCAATAAGTCCTTTGCTATTTTGCAATATAAAGCTGAATGATATTGATATGCAAAATGACGTTGACATACAAATAATGTCTGTTTATAAATTTATTTTTCAGATTCCGACTTCCCTAGGTTTGCCGAGGAAATTCAAAATGTGACAGTAAGCATAGGTCGAGATGCTTTGTTAGCCTGCATAGTGGACAATCTTCGATCTTATAAGGTAATAATAAATATTTGATTTCATACATAACGATATCGAATAATTGAATAACTTCAAAAGTTATTAACACATTGAAGTTTTCAAAAAACTATTTCATTTTCTTACAATCTAAAGATCTTATTACTATACTCACGATAAAGGATTGTTGGTATAGATTTAAATCATTTGGCATTTATTGATTCGCACAATTTAATCATTTATTCGCATAAAGTAATGTTTTCACATTTTTTGTCACTTGGATCAATCCAAGGACTTTAGCATTGCCTGCGTTCTCCCTCGAGGAGGAAACGAAAATATCGGTGCATTTAGTTTCCAGCATATTGGAATCAAAACATAACGAGTGTTTTCTCATCGACTGGTGGAAATTTGTGCAAATTCGGGACGCGCGTCTAACCAAACGATCTTGCATCAGCAGATAAATAAGCCAGTATGTGTTTCCCACGACAATAATATTAACATCGCAAGCTTACTTTGAAAGAAACAAATGACGTCAGTGCTCAACTGGGGTCTCACAGGCCCCTTTATTCCCCAACCTCACAATATGAACAATAATAACATGAACAGTACACTATCTCAGAAGACACGTTTAACCTGTCAACACGTGCACAGTATATAAATGTACGCGCGTGTCACGCATTTACCGGTTACAAAGCAATATTTGTCGACAGGAGTTTGTCAGACCCCTACAGGGAGTAGTCCAAGGTTAAGCAAAACTTTTTTACGCTTCGCTAGATAATTTAACGCGATGGAGTCAAGGGAGATGGCGGAACCTGGTAATTCTAGCCCGTGACTCGCAACAACGTCAACTTCAGCCGACTACGTCGTTCGTTACACCAATGGAAATACATCATAGACCGTGTCACGTTGAATTATTAAAGTAATACAGTAACAACGCCGGTTTGCGTGATCCTCCCACGCGATCCGGTGTACCTTGCTCGCGTAAAGAGCCGTCGTGCCTTGTATTACCATTTCTAGGGATGATATTTTCCAGACATTACTGCGCGGGAACGAGAAACATACTACCCCAATAAAGAGGTGTTCCTAAATGTAGAGGGAGGCGTCGTGGAAGTACTGTGAAGGCTCACGAGACGAAAATTGTATCATAGTTGCCGGAATTTAATTTATGTAATACCCAATTTATGAGGTAGAGATCCTGAAGGGGCCGTATATACTTAGCTGAAACGTCGAAGTGTATTTAACGTAATTATTTGGTTCTGTTGCTTTTGATACCAAAGATATAATAATTTTTCATTCGTCAGAAAATCACTGGGGAAGGAATAAAGTTTTCATCTGTTTTAAAATTATGAGCACGCGGAATTAAAGTTTGTTATTATACGCGTGAGAAAGTGAATGTATGTATATAAAATGTATTCGGTATATGTAAGTGCTCAAGAGATTAGGTACAGTTAGAATTTCTGTTAGAATATTAGCTTTACATTCTCTTTGAATTAGCTAATTTTGTTCTTTAAATTCAATTCAAAATATATCGTATACACGAAAACAAGAAAAACGTGCTGGAACAAAGACTACAAGTGGATATCACGTAACAACGATACAATGACCACGTACCCTTTGTCTTTTGAAAAAAAAAGTCTTTTTGTTAACGAAATAAATGTCTGTAACGTCTTGTCTTCGAGTTCTTCAATGGTGCACAATAATTCCTCGTATTAAAAACATATAAACAGAAATCATAAACTGCATGTGATGCAGCAACGATGAAGGTTTATTCAGAGGTCTGTCTACGTACAATGACCAGGTACCTTTTGTCTTTTGAAACGAAAGCGTGAAAAATGAAACAACTGCTCTCACCAGAGTCTGTTATCAGAACAATGGACTCCGTTGGCTACGTAAAAGGAAACAGGTCTTTTTTGTTTACAAAATAAATGGCTGTGTTCGCAAAACACACCTGCATTTCGGTGTTTTCAAGCTTTGAAATGAGCCAGGAAGATTTCGTTTAATAAATGCATGAGAACAAGCACTACAGTTTAATATAATAAACAATGAAATTGTATTCAGAGTTTTATCCACAGTCGAGAAATGAATATACAAAATTATTTTAAAGTGATAAAATAAATGTAATAGTGAAAGATATAAGTAATCAAAAATTGTGTTATTATCATATGAATTTTATATTGAGTAGGACATTGATTGATTATTCATCGAAGGTAGTAAGTGTCCATATATTTTTGAACGAGAGTGTAGATACCAATCCTTGAACATGTTAAACCGCAATGTATTTTCTTTCGTTCCCTCAATTTTTCAAGCAAAAGAAGAAGTATCTCCGAACTCTTCGAGCTGAAGAGTGAAAAACCAAATGGATAATGTTATCAAAACATCGAACTCAATTGACCACGTAACAGAAAAACAGACTGTTTCGTTCACGAAATAAACGCCTCAGTTTCGTTTTCTTCGAGGCAGGGGATCGATACTTAGGGTATTCCCCGCATATTAAGAAGCAGTCAGTATCCCCGGCACCGTATTCGAGAAAGTTTGAACGTATCTCGTGTACCCACAAAAGCTTCCTATTCGCATCGAAACCTCGACGACGAAGGAGGGAAAACGAGGGAGGGTTCTAAGCCTTCTTATACTTATCCTTCTATTCTCTGTATCCCGTGAAGGTTTCGAAGATCCACGAAAGGATACGGAATACAAGCCATCGGTGTATTGGATTAAGCGGGCGATAAGAAGGAAGGGTTGTTATATATGGTGTCCAAAGCCCAAGGAAAAAGGAGAGTCGGGCATGAATAGAATTCGCTGAGAATGAACATACGAGCAATTCTATAAATGAAACTGTACAACGGAATACCTTGTACTTTTCAATTCTTTCCTCCGAGCTTGCAAAATTTATCGGACGCCTCTGAGAAACTATCACCTGGGAAAGTTTCGCCTCCTATCATTCGATGGTTTTCGAAGAATTGAATGATGAAAGTTTAGAAAAATTCCGGAAAGTGCATGGAATGAAGTCTTGGGAAAGTTGGACATCGCCTAACCGTGCGAAATTTCCCCCTCCTCATCTGGCAATTTTCTTCTGGTTCCGCGAAGAAAGAAGAACAATTCATTATTATTAAACTTCAGTTACGTTTGGAATTGATGAGATATCTGGTGAATAAAAATATCGAGGTGTTATCGTTGCCAACACAGTATGAAAGTTCACTATGATTTTACCGTGCTCCTACCATTTCCTTGCTTTTTAAAGTTATAGGTCTTCGCTTGATACGTAGAACAAACATTCTGCATTGACAAAGTTGAAAGATAAACGATTAATATTCCTTGTAATTTATTTCAATTGATATTAGATGCAATATCCGCCTTCTATCTCAAATAATTATTATTAAAAGTTACAGAAGAGAATCAGTAGATCAATTTATTTGGAAAGAATTGCAAAGCCCTCAGAATGTTAGTCTTCGTAGGAAAACGTGACTTCGTTGAACATACTATGAACATACGCCTACGCATGTTTGTTTCAGGTGGCATGGGTGCGCGTCGATACACAGACCATCCTGTCTATCCACCATAATATCATCACACAGAATCCTCGGATCTCGTTGTCCTACAATGACCATCGTACGTGGTACCTTCATATAAAGGAGGTTAAAGAGGTGGACCGCGGGTGGTACATGTGTCAGGTGAACACCGATCCAATGAGAAGCCGACAGGGCTACCTGCAGGTCGTAGGTAAGTGATCACATTGTATATTATATTTTCGTGTTTCACGTTTGACGAAATTAACAAGGGAATGCATGGGTGGCATTCAATCATCGTTTTCCCAGTAAATTCACAACGAAATTGAGATGTATAGCAAGTGGGGAAAAATGCTTAATATTACATATTTGTTATACTGGGGTCTGTGATACTTGAAAGAAATATTTTGATCAATAATGTGTTTTGTTGGTAAAATTGCTGCAACGCACATTTGGTAATCTATGCTTGAGTATGTTCTGCACAATTGTACGTTTGCACAATTCAAATATTTAATTTTCCAGTCCGATACAATGTATTACGTCACAGGAAAGTTTGTGTTACTTGAATTCTGATTTCTATTTCTATTGGTTTGTAATCGCTATTAATTTTGGTCGTTACAGACACCCCTAATTAACCGCAGGTTTAAGCCTTGTTCGTTTGATTAAGCAAAGTCTCGCTGAGGACAGTTTATCGATAATCTCTTCTATCTAAATAGCGACTCGACGATGCGGAGCCCACGATAGTGAAGCCTACGATACAAACTTTGAAGTTTGTAAATTATTTTGTAAAATGTTTGACGAGTTGAGAAAATGACAGGTGCTATTATTAACGAAAAACGTTTCAACAACGGTGATCTGTAACGCATAGTGATTCAAATGTAATCTGATGCAAGCACAAAAAAATAACAATAATACTATTTCTAGTTTTTAATCAGTGTAACAGTGATCTCTAGAAATTAAAAGAATTAAGCATACTTGAGGAGGCAGGGGAGAACAATTATTTCATCTTACCTATTTAATTTCGTTTGATTTTGATCAATACTTCTCAATAATTTTAAATTATTTCAAAAGGAAACAAAAGGGATCAAAGTCACCGCGTATCATTCTGATTGTCCAAACGAGCAAGTAAAAATATTACTACGTTCATTGGTACACAATTGTATTTAATTATTTAACATTTTTATTGAGACACAAGACTGGGAAAAGAATTTGAAAAATTGATCCATTTTGATTGAATTAACATCGATTTATTCGAGGCCCGCTTGTACAGCATAAACTATTCGCTTGTACAGCGAAGAACTTTATCACTTTGTAGGATGAAAAAGAACGTTATCTATTCAATTTTCGCATTTCTCCCTTATTGCAGTGCCACCTTCCATTATCACGAAAGAAACCAGCACAGACATGGTCGTTCGCGAGGGTTCGAACGTGACGCTGACGTGTAAAGCTTCCGGATATCCGGAGCCCTACGTCATGTGGCGCAGAGAGGACGGAAAGGACATAAACTATAATGGCGAGAGCGGTGAGTTTTTGATCCATCAATTCTCCGTGACTTTAATTGACGGTCAGACGCCGGCAATGTCGATTTTTCGATATTAAAGTGTATTTGGGTGGTCATAAACTCAGCTATGACAGGCTTCTGTTGAAAATGTCAATCTTGACGGCGAGTGACAAGTATACTTGTTTAAATTATTACTGTGGAAGGAAATGTAGAGTGGCTGAACCATGTGGAACGAGTTATATTTATGAAAGGAGCACGTACAATTTCAATAGCAATAATTCTTTTATTCTATAATTTAAATAATTTGTGTTATTTAAATGATACTTTTTCAATAATAATAGGTCTTCTTAAATATCTTCATCGTTACTTCAAAGCGTCGGCGTCGTTCTTGTATCCCTCGGTCGAGGCAATCGATACGTTTCGACGTAAAGCGAAGAAGCTAATACGGAAGTACTACTGGATAGAATAAACATTTTATCATCGACAATCGCAAATAATCGATTTTCCGGGAAGCTTCTGTTTGTCGTGGTTCGCTCCTAAAAATAGCTAAGCAGTTTAAGAGCACGGGACCTCTCAGACGAGGTCGCCTCGATCGATGCTAATTACTTTCTTAATTACTAATTATGGAGAGGGTGAGAAGTACGATACCAACCTTCCTCCTTCGCGTACACATATACATATTCGCGCACGCTCTTTCTTTCTCTTTCTCTCCCGCACATACATTAGTGGACAAAGATGTACAGGGAAGCGAGACGTCAGACAGTCTGTCGGTTTCAAAGGATTTTCTCAATATCGGATAAAGGCCGGATTTAATTTCTGCTCTAATTTAAATTTTCATTGCCCTCGAGGTATACTCAGGCTCAGACGCTCAGAGAAAGCTTTCGAAGCTTGCGTCTCGTCCTAACTCCGCCCGTATAAACTGTCACTGATAAATATGTATGCGTCGAATCGTTTTCGCGTGGAAAAAAGATACTCCGTCCCAATCCCTGTTCGTGGACAATCGAAGAAACGTGAAACGCTTTGTTATTCGAAAGCAAGAGGCGCCTGAAAATTTTCTCCTTGATCCTATTGTTCTTGACATTTCGTAAAACAAAAGCTTCTGCCTGAGGTGCGTGAAATCTCTGGAAAAAAAGTTCTTGATGTCGACTATACAATAGGAAAGCCATTTACATACGTATTATGAGTAGTAAAAACCGTTGTAAATTCGCAACAATGGAGTGCAAGCTCTAATATTAGTAGAATAAAATGTATATTTTGAAAATTCAATAGAATTAATTTCGTCCATTGACAAGTTATTAAAGCTAAGATAAAATAATAAGTATTTATATAAAGTTAATTTAGTTAAGTTTAATACAAATTTAAATCTAATGCAGTAATTATACAAATTATATGCAGTTCATATTTTTCGTTGTAGAGCTAATTAAATATTCTTTATTAAATATTTTACTGTCGCCATAGCAATTCGTTTAATCGAATGCTCTGTACCAGGGATTGCCCTCTCTTATCCACGTACGTAATCTGTCGTACATCTGCAGCGCTGCGCAAACCGTGAGACGTACGATCTATTACTACTGTATTTAAACTAATTTGCATAATTTTCTATGACTCAGAAACTCACGGCGAGAGTCATTTCAAACTTCAGCCATATATTCTGAATGAATTACTTTATGTACGTGGGGGGAATAAAATCTAGAAACAGTTCAGGATTAAGTATTTATCGTGCATAAAACTCGGATTTTAATTAAACTTTCATAACAATTTAATAAATCGTATAATTTGACTGCTGCTGTAATAAATTGAAGTACTTCAACCTAAATGAAAATCTTTAAGTAAGAAGTCTTGGAGTTTCAAATGTTTGATGAATCATTCACTTCTATATCAAAAGTTAGTGAATTGGGAAAAACTTAGTCTGTTGATTAACACACCTTGTCACACTTAATTTCACATTAACTGGTATTTAGTATAAAATTAACGCGGTTAATATTTTTATTCCTCTAATATTAGAACATTCAATATTTTTATTTGCAATAATACAATTAATTGCTATACTAAGATTAAAAATATTACTTTTAATTTTTCCTTCTAAATTTTGAATATAAATATTTGTCTTCATTCCGTTTGGAAAACTCCAACCATATTTTTACCATTTAATCAATAACATAAATAAGAAATCTTCATTTACGTTCAAACTTGAAGTAATTAGTATCCCAGTCATAGATACCATTTTCATAGCAAAAGAAGCAATCTTGTTGAAAACCAATGAATACGTATATCGCGTTACATGTACGCTAGTCTCGTGGTCACGCTAATCAATTCGCGAGGCCTGGCGAGCAATCAACGGGTAATTAGGAGGCGACATCGTTCGACGATCATATATCGAAGGACACATCTGCTATTATATGCGGGACATGTCATTCGATGATAGCGTCAGATTATCGACGTAATTGGACGAAATATTACGGTGGTGAATACGGCACGCACTCGAACCGCGAGTTGCTAACTGAGGTGTTGCCCTCTGGGGCTTGGGGACAGCCTAGCACCATCACTCGCACGTCTGACGGCCTCCAGACACCTTGGCCCGTGAGGAAACCGTGGTCTGGTGTCAGATTCCCCAGCTCCCTGGTCGTCACTATATTCCACGGACAGCTCCGCTATCGAATAATGGTGTACACCACCTGCTACCAAACAACTTCATTATTAAAACTTCGTTTTTAAATCAACGGTAACAGAGGAAAGGGTGGTATCGTGGCTACATATAAATAGGGTCCTTCGCAACTTTTATATTTTTATCTTTGCACTAGTTGGAGTTTAAGCATACACTATATCAGGTATATTTGTCACAATGTTGCAAAGGATATGATGATGGAATGATAGTGGGCACTGTGTTAACTATTGCACTCCTGTGTCGAGTTACACTCGACATCATTTTTATTCAAGGGAATTAAACACTAATTTTTATATGTATTTAGCACCTTCTTTATTAATTGAAATTTTCTTATTTTTCAATTGAAAAATTTAGACGTTCCATCAGAACTAGATTACTACATAATTTGCAATCTATTTGCAACATAATTAATAATACAATATACTTCAATTTAATGTCAATCGAGAAACTGTGTTTTAAAGTACATTTTAGATGGAACACATAAAATAATAAGGATTTATAAGAAACAAAATTGTAAAAATATTTGGAGCGCTATTGTTTAAAATAAATAAAAATCGACAAAACGAAAGGAAGATGATTATGGTTACTGTCTAATAATTGTTGGAACTCAACTTGACGCTATTTATTTTCATTTTATGAGATTCATCTTACCTAGTGAAAGACTTAAGTATGTCGATGAGTTACTAACCACGAAAAATTTGAAGTGCCAAAATACCTGACTTAGAAAATGGCGGCCAGTTAGGATGGTGCACGCACCATTGACCATGTTCGAGGAAATTCTTCCTTCGACCTTAGAATTCAGGACAACCTTGCCTATAATAAGGTAGCTCAAGACTTTTGCAGACTACTGTACACATCCACACACGGCCAGCTCCCTTAACGCCACCCTTATGCCGCCACCCAGCTCTGGAAAGTGAAAAAGAATGGCCAAGAGAGATGAAAAAGCAAATCGAATTTTGTAAAACTCTCGCGCGTCTGGCGGTGTTTTTAAGGAATGGGATCAAGATACCCGATGCTTGGTGAGCGGGAGGGGGAGGGAAGATTTACTTCTTAGGACTCAACCGATCGCCTAGAAAACCGATAAAAGACGGAAAAACACGGGGAGCAAAACGGAGGGTAGAAAAGGGAACAGAGGAATTTCGAATTGGAAGAATGAGTCAGGGGTAACGAATCGTGTGGCCGAAAAAACGAGCATTTTAGTTTAAGGAATCTAGTATAGGTAGTTAAGTAAACATTGATAATTTGTATAATCGTTACTTGTCATGTCAACTAATTAAAAACGACATTTTAGTCTACAATTTGGACACACTTCAGGTTGCATTAAAAAAATATTTATATGCCAGACATAAGACATGAAAATAAAAAACATCAAATTGCAAAAGAAATGTACAAAATGATGGAATATTGTTCAGAAACACGACTTGAATAATGTAATAATTTATATATAATTCGAAGGGTCATTTTAATCATGCATATGTCAATAAATTTCTATGAAAATTAAACTACATTTAAATTAGAAAGGAGATAATGTTTACTTACACAGGAAAGTGTTCGCATTTTCTATTTTCTCTGTGTATTTCTTTTCTTTAATCGCACTGGAAACCCGGTTAAATAAATTTTCGCACCTTGTCAAGCACTTTTATCGAAATGGATCACGAATTATTATTCGAATCGAATCGAAACAATTAGCCACCACTTTATCGAAAATTTCTGTATTCCAAGATTGTTACCAATTCGGAGCTCTGCAGCGTGACGGATTCTGCTTCGAAATAGTTATACACTGCTCGTTTCCCAATAATCCCGTTAATCCGAACTGGAATCCAAGGGAATCAAGCAAATGGAACCTAACATGTTTTACTTTAGTTTCGTCAGACTGTCTGACGCGTTTCCGGCTGGCTATTTTTTTTTATGCAGAACCTTTTCGGTAGTTTATATTCGTATCAAACAATGGCGAGTTCTATTTTCTCTTCGCGGCTTTTAAACTGATTTTTATTTTAGAGAACAGCAGAATAGTCATTAGCTCTCATTGCAAGCTCCCGTGGGACACCGGACACATACTAATGCAGGCGTGTATACACTGCTCTTGCATTCGTATGTGTTTGTTGTCTCTACCACTCCAATTGTATGGAATGGTAAATTCGTTGTAATTCAGAGCTGGCCTTGGAGAAGACTGCGCCACGTTAATGCAATCAATCCACTACCAGCTACAATCCAATTCAAGAACCTTATAATAATTGTTTCTCATTATTCATTGTATTTTAGATATATGTATATATAATTCGTGGTTGTACCGCTGAAAGGATTTCAAAAGAAGATAATGAAACTGTGAATTTGAATATTGATTTTTTATTACTAT